TTCTTCTTCTTCTTCTTCTTCTTCTTCTTCTTCTCCTCCTCCTCCTCCTCCTCCTCCTCCTCCTCCTCCTCCTCCTCTTCCTCCTCCTCCTCCTCCTCCCCATTCTTCTTCTTCTTATTCTTATTGTTATTCCAGCAAACTGGGTTCGACCATCCTACACAAAAGCAAGATGGCAACAACCCCAAGAGGGAGGTGGGGTCTTCTTTAAAGCCTTACTGATGGGAGTATCTAAGGAAGTTAGGTCATACAGACATGATTCACTTAAGCAAGTGGAAATCATATTAGTACACTGTAATTGGCTAGGGCTGATCAGGGGGTTAGTCAGGGCTACACGCTGCCATTTTTGGACAGGCCTGTGCAAGTCCCAAACCCTGTCCTCAATCTGCCGTGGAGACTGGCAACTCAGGCCTGGCCTGGCCTAGCCCTGCATCAACCAGGCCTCTTCCTTGCTGTTGGGGATATTGGAGATGGATGGTTCTTTGTTCGTGGCTTTTCCTCAGAAGCTCCTCATTCAGTCTCAGGAAACTGACATGGAGGCCTGATCTCGGAGGGAAGACTGAAGAGCCTGTCATGGCATTTGCTCTGTCCTTTCAAAGGTTGACATAAAATGGAAGAATTGCTGAGAGTGATGCTACAGGCTCAAAGGGAGTGGCTCTCCGGTGTTCCCCAGAGAACCATGGTGACCTGTGGGTAGGTCCTGTGGGGAGCATGACTGACGGGATTGTCTGTCTTTCTGCAGGTAAACGGCCACTCGGCCTGCCCAGAGGTCACTCCTCTTGCTCAGCTAATGTCTCTGAGAAACACAAAAGCCAGGAGAGTTTGGAGCTATGCTCAGAGACATCGTGAATGATCAGTCCTAAACAAAGACTGCTTATGGCTTCAGATTAAAGCCATTCAAGCAAGTAGCCACTGTGTGTGTGTGTGTGTGTGTGTGTATGAAAGAGAGAGAGAAAGAGAGAGAGAACGTGGAGGGGTAGACTTTTAAAATAGTCTGTGGAACTGATTACCTACAAGCACTCAATACACATTTGTACCTACTAAGTGCTCAGTATACACCTGTACCTACTAAGTGTTCAATATGCATTTGTACCTACTAAGTGTTCAATATACGTGTGTACCTACTAAGTGCTCAATATACATTTATACCCACTAAGTGTTCAATATACATTTATACCTACTAAGTGCTCAATATGCATTTGTACCTACTAAGTGCTCAATATACACGTGTACCTACTAAGTGCCCAATACACATGTGTACCTACTAAGTGCTCGATACACACTTGTTGGAGAAACTCCTGACTTTCCTCACTCCCTCCAACAGCTCATGGATATAAACAATCTTTCTTTGTCACTGTTAACTTTTGAAGCTGGAGCATAATTTAAAATTTTCCTTGCTTTTCAAATTAATGAATGTTTATTGTTAAGACATTGGAAAATGGAGAGAACCCCTAAGAGGAAAACACATGGTTTATGATGCTGTCACACGGACTAGAGTTCCTAACATTTGGTAAATTCCTGCTGTCCTAGTCAGGGCTACAATCGCCGTGAAGAAACACCGCGACGAAAAGTAAGCTGGGGAAGGAAGGGTTTGTTTGGCTTACATCTCCTCAATCATGGTCTGCGGAGGGAAGGAAGCCAATACAGAAATTCGAAATGAACTGGAACCCGGAGGCAGGAACTGATGCAGAGGCCATGGGTACTGCCTACTGGCTTGTTCCTCCTGGCTTACACAGCCTGCTTTCTTATAGAACCTAGGACCACCAGCCCAGGAATGACATCACCTATAGTGAGCTGGGCCCTCCCCCATCAATCACTAATTAAGGAAATACCCCACAGCCTTGCCTTCAGCCCGATCTTACGGAGGCGTTTTCTCAACAGACATCCCTCCACTCTGATGACTCTTGCTTGTGTCAAATTGACATAAACCAGCTAGCACATCCTACCATGTTTTGGGGGTAGGAAGATCATTTGATATTTTGCTGTTCCACTTTTACCTTGAGCGATACATTCTGAGCATTCGACAGAATAATAGTGCATGTTAATTGAATAGTTATATTCAAGTATAATTAGCGCTATAACTGATTTAACCAGCTCAGTGTTTTGAATGCTTTTGTGTTCCCATTTTATAATGTGGTGGTAAATATCCTATTCTTAAATATTTATAAAGTTGGAATAATATTCTAGAAGGCAATATGTTGGATCAGATCTTATGGACACTTTGAAGCAGTTCATCTTGCCATATTGCCCTTCTATTGAGTCACTGAAAGTCCCCAAGCTGCCCAGGGTACCTGTGATATATTTCTTAAGGAACTTATTTGCCACTCTTGGAGATTTCGCTATAGCAGAGAGAAAAAATATAGCAATACACAGGAAATGACAAAATCAGAATCCTTAATGTTTTTACTACTGGGCCAGGCGTGGTGGTGCCCACTCCAGTCCCGGCACTCAGGAGGCAAGGACAGGAGGGTCAGCGTCCTAGCACTCAAAAAGCAAGGACAGGAGGTCAACACAAGCTGGAGACCAACTAGGTCCTACATGGTGAGTTCCAGGTCAGCTAGGGCTACAGTGAGACCCTATCTCAACACACACACACAACACATATACACCACACACACACACTATCCACACATATACCACACACACACATCCACAAATACCACACATATACACACATACACACCACATCCACATAGACACCACACACACATCCACACATATACCACACACATACACACACACCACATACACACACACATATACCACACACACATATCCACACATATACCACACATATACACACACACCACATACACACATATACCACACACATGCATACACACCACATACACACATACACATATAT